TGAATGGCAACTTGCTGCTAGTGCATGGAGATAATAAGTATTCTAATTGAGGGAGTGATAACACATTGCTTTCAAATAGTCAAATTTGTACTAAAGTTGAAAGATTAATAAATTATATTTTGCTGAATGGCAATAGTCTGATGCACTGGAGATAAAAAAAATGTTTTATTTTAAACAGTATTTTTCCTTCTTACTTTCAAATCACTAAGTTTGCTAAACAAAAATGAAACAAATGAAAAACAAATTCAAAATTTGGCCTTCAAGGTGCCCATGTTCAGGTTGAGACAGAGCTATTCCTTGAAATATTTTCTTCCAAAACTAATTTAAAGGCAGGCTTTTTTCTGGGGCCTAACTACATTAAATACATGTATTCCTCAAAACATGCCATTCAGCAAAGTGCTGAAAGGACATTGTTTTCTGGTCAGATAGCAACTTAAGTGGCTAGTTGTAATTTATAATAGCTCTACTTTTGAATGTTATCAACCAAAATAAATTATATCTTGTCAAAGTCAACAATTCTTTTTAACCATTGTTAAACAAAAAAGTGAGAGAAAAATATCAAAAGTTTAATTAAAATAAATTATCATAATATATTGTTACGAATTTGGGTATTTAAAAAGCTAATGTTAGTTCAATTATGAATTAAATGGTTTTATTTCTCGCGCAGTGCAGCGCGTGACGAATATTGAAAGAAAGCTAAGCCGGAAAATTGAAAATACAAGAGCGCGTGCATTAAATAAATAAATATCTCTTTTTGATTTCGAGAAAGTACTGGAAAATTCTAGCGCGGGATTTTAAAATCTTATAAAAGGAGGAAAACATCTCAGTTCGTAGTAGTTGCTTAGTTTGTTGTGTTTAGAAAACTGCTCTTGTTGATTGTAGCGAATTCGAATTCACAGATTAGCTTTCTTTAGCTGTTTTGAATTACGTTCTATTGGACATTTGAGTAGTTAAAAGATAACTACTGTGAGATATTGTAATACTGCATGATAATTTGAGAAAATTTAAGCATTTTTGTTGTGATAATAATAAATTTTTGTTCATTTTTCATCGGACTTGTGCATTCATTTCATAACGAACCCATATGCACGCAACAATTTTTGGTGTCAGAAGTGCGATTTTGAATGCCAATTACAAGAGTGATGGAAGAACAATTCAGGCAAATGATGACTGCATTTGCTGCTTTCCAAGAAAAGATGGAAGGGGCCGTCAACTCCATTAAGGAAGAAATGAAATTGGGCCAGGAATCCGTTAAGGACGAAATGAAAGCCGTTCAAGCTGGTCAAGAAGAAATGAAAAGAGAAATTACCTGCATAATAGAAAATAAATTTGAAGCTATAGAAGGCAGAATTGACACAGTTGAAAATAAAGTTTGACAAATCGAAGAAAAAGTTTCTTCCATAAAAGATCAAATTGAAGAAAGAGTTTCTTCGGTGAAAGAAGAAATAGAAGAAAAAGTTTCTGCTGTGAAAGAACATATAGAAGGGAGAGTTTCTGCTGTGGAGGAACGAATTGAAGGAAGAGTTTGTGCCGTCCAACACCAAATCGAACAACAAATTGATGATAGGGTTTCTGCAGTAGCCAAAGAAGTGGATATTTTAAAGAAATTCGTAGCGACGGCAGGGAACAATAGTGATGGTTTAAATTCTTGCCGATGCCTGCTCGTCCACCTCTGAAGCTATCCACACATGATGGGAAGACCTCCTTGCAGGTGTATAAGACACAATTTTCTATCGTGGCGGATGCGAATGGATGGGATTCCCAAGCTAAGGATTGTCATCTCGCTGCTTCTTTAAGAGCCGACGCAGCGGATATCCTTCAGACTCTTCCCGAAAACAAAAGGTTAGATTTCGAAGCTCTGTCCGGCGCCTTGGAGCTGCGTTTTGGGGAGAAGTGTTTAAAAGACTACAGCAGGCTCCAATTAAAATCTCATCAACAGAAGCCTACCGAAACACTTTAGGAGCTCGCCACGGATGTTGAAAGGCTGTCCCATCACACCTTTTCAGAATGCCCGACAGAAACAAGGGAAATCCTGTCCTTGCAATACTTTATCGACGGCATCCGAGATACTGAAATACAGAAAGCTCTACGAATGGCGGATGTAAAAGATTTAAAAAGGGCTCTAGTGTACGCCATGAAATTCAAGGCAGCCCAGCAAGCCACTCGTCGAGACCGCCACCCAGTCAGAGCTGCTCAAGTCCAGGAGCCAGGGGATCAAGTCACTGCTCGTCTAGACGATTTAAATAGACAACTGAATGCCTTGAGACGGAATATTGGTGATAAGAAACCGACCGTTAAGTGCTGGAACTGCGGTGCTGAAGGACACATATGACGAAACTGCAGAACACCCCAGGGTACGGATGTTAAGACCGTTCCTAAGAAACTAAGCAGTGGAACGTAGGCCATCTCGCGGGCGGAGGTCGCAGATATGAAAAAGCCCCAGTTTAAAGCGCTTCAGATTTCTGCAGTGAGAGGCGGCAGTAATAGACTTTTCATAATAGGACATATTAATGGAGTTCCCTGCAATATGACTATAGATACAGGAGCCAACGTTACCATCATCCGAAAAGATTTGGCTCAGCAACTGGAAAGCAAACTTATCTGGACGCCGCCCTGCGTTACCCTACAGACTGTGTCCGGTAGGAAGATTGACATCGATGGAAAAGTAAATGTCAACATCACGTTTGGAAGTGCCGCTTGCCATCACACGACATATGTAGCAGAGATCACTGATTCTTGCATACTCGGATTGGACTTTCTAAGGAAATACAATTTTTCCTTGGACTTTAGAAATAACGAATTGCATTCTACATCTGAGGACATACCGTTGTTTGGAGTTAATGATGTAAAAGTTAAATCTGTCCATAAAATCATAGTACAAGACAATATCACAATACCGGCAAGAACAGAAATTTTACTTCCTGGATCCATAGCCGAAAACAGAAATTTCCGCTACGGCATCATAGAATATCCCGATAACTGTAATAGCCCAAAAGGAGTACTAGTAGCCTCAACACTCGTCGACCTATCCAGAACGGTTATCCCGGTGAGAGTTGCCAATGTAACTGAGAAGGCGAGAGTTATTAAGAAAGATGAAGTAATTGCAGCATGTACTCCAGTAACCACCGTTGAAAGAAAGAGTAACATCCCAAGAATCCGTGTCTTTCAGAGAGCATTACATCGGAGTTACTTGCAAAATGCGCAATTAAACGATGAATAGAGGAATGCTGCCTGATCGCGTCATTAAAAGATCTTCAAGATTGTTTTCTCCCGCTCGTCTTCTGACATGGATCGAACCTAATTTGACACAACGTGGCATAGAATCGATACCTGGCGATCATCCCACCAATCAAGCAACATCCAAGACGTTCTACCTTTTGCTAAACAGGAAGAGGTGCGAACACTGTTAAAAGATAAGGAAGAAGGCGATGTCATCGAGCCTTCAGTAAGTCCATTCAAAATCTTCTCGTTAAGTTCCTCAATATCTTTCTGTAACATTTGCAACTTTGTAAATTTATCTTTAATTATACCTGTTGAAAATTTCGTCCAAATTCGCTTTTCAAAACATTAACAGTCTTGGTAAAGGAAGAACGCAATCCTCTGCGTTTTGCAGTTAAAGGATTCATAATAAAACTATAAATTAAACCAGCTTGCTTTACTTCACAAAATACCATTCAACAAAATAATTATAACAGGAACCTCACCGCATTCTGTCGCGGACGCTACTGGTAACGAAAATACCAAAAAATATCAGAACTACATCGAGACTACCCTTCAACGGTTGTTCTGCACAGGTTCTTAATATACGTATATAAACCTTAATAATAATTAGACACAGTGAGTCTACTATTAGAATATCTGTTTACAATTTCAATATTTATAGAAAAAGAAATAAATTTTATCTACTTGAATTCTGCACATGCTTCTTGACGAATAAACACTTTTATTCATACTCGACATCAGCATTTTCATAGTTTCTTTGAAGTAAAGCAGGAACTAGGACATTATTCAATAAACAGAACACAAAATACAATATAATTCAATTCAATTCATATCAACATTAAATTCTTAGAACACTTCTATCACTAAGCAAACACGGATCAGAACGTGCGTGCTGTTGCTGAAAACTGATGCCATCCACAAAAAAAGGATACTTAAAACTCGCGTCATTAAAACATTAATAGTCTCGTGTTCATTCAATAAAGTTATTCATAAAACTGTCTCGTGGATATCTTCCGAAGTTTATTGAAGACATTACGTAACAGATGGTTTTGTTTTGCACCATTAATTTGTGATAGAAATTTTTCCATCATTCTACAATAAACAAATTTAACTTTTTTCAGACAGTGTCCAGTTAATCTGCATCTGGTTAGTTAAGAGTTGATTGTACTTCTTTAATAATTCCACTACACATTTTTAATTTCTTATCCCTCATATATATGAATTCTACTTTCCACCATGAATAAAACATTTGTTTTATTTATTAAGGTTATATTTTAAGCATCCTACATTTTATTTTATACTATCATTGCTGACTTCAGCATAAGTAGAATGTTTCGGGTTTAGTTTTTATGTATCACGCAAGTAGTTTCAAGAACAAGTTTGGGAAAATGTATCTAATAATCATGATAAAAAATTTTTATTTATTCTTGTATTGCTTTTGAATTTAATGCTATTTCCATGTCACACTTGCTGTATTGAAATTTTAACTTACAAGCCAAATCTAGCAATGAAAAACATAATTTGTAGAATGAAATAAAATAATGTTCAGGGGAAAGAGAACAACAAGATGTTTTTGCCACTTACTCAATATTCTCATGCTAGGAGGATAGGAGTTTTCTAATTTTTTGTGTTTTATTATTCTCTAATGGTACTGTTAAGTACTGAAGGAAGAGGGAATATTATGTTAAAAAATTATGTTCTTAACTTTCATTGTAGTGATCAAGATGTTGGCATTTTATTATGTAACTGTGTATTTGCATTTCATGCTTTTAAATCTCAAGTTTATAATATTTTGGATCATATTATGTATTTTGTATATGTTTAGGCTCATGCAGAGATAAAATACAGTAATGAACTTTGTAAATACAGCATTGAAGATTTAGGAAGTCAAAATGGCACTTTTATAAATGATGTGAGACTTTCCAAGGTAATATTTTAAATGTATTCGTTGTTTATATTAATGCATAAATGTGAAAAAGTGCTTTTTTACCTGTGTCTTTTCATGGAAGTGGCCTGAGAATTTCAATCCTATGAATCATATGATAGATTGAAATGATCAGGGAAATGTCATTAACAATATATGTTCTAGTTAAATATGTTAAAAATGGCTGCATTACTCTGGCTGATATAGTAAAATTATATCACTGCCAAAGACATTATGAAGCAAAAAAACTGCCCTTTGTCCAAAATGTGATCACCCTTAATGCTGTATGAGTGATGCACCACATTTTTCATGTGATACTAAGAAATGATGTGTTACTGCAGTGTATCATTGCTGTGCAGGCGTCATTTTCAGCTGAAGAATATTTTTAGTAGGTTCTGATATGCCAAAAAGTATTTGAATTCCAGATATACTTTATAGGATGCTTTTTCGAACTGAGAACTATACAGGCTGATCCATCCGTTGAGTATTTTTACTTTCCATCTTGCTTCCATCCCCCACACACAATACTGTGGGGAGGGAGATGTTATTATCCATAAATAGAAATTCAGGGCAAGTGGTATATCAGAACAGATAAACATAAGCAAAGATAACTTTGATATCATAGCATTTACCAGTTACAATTGTCCCACCTACATTTTCTAATCCCTTGACATTATATCCTGCCATAAGAGACAATATATTGAGTCAAAAATTAAATCAGCAAACACTTGGTTTTTATTTTATTAGACCCTTTAAAATTAGGCAGTAAAGCAACTTTTTAGTTTGGTGCAGATTTTAACAACTCAGTTGACAAATACGAACGGAATTTGGCACTGAGACTCAGATTTTGGTTCCTTCCCCCCCCCCCGGTCAGTCCCATTTTTTATCCATACGGCCAGCTTGTACCAGCTAGGAGGATCAGGGCTGTGCCCTTATAATGATGATGATAATGGGCCCTTCTTCCTCAGACAGGAGCAGTGACTTTGTGAAACAAATATAACAGGGTTCATACGGTCCTTAAAAGTCCTTAATTTTTTCAAAAATGATTTTTGGTCCTTAAAAGTCCTAAATTTTGGCCAAAATGAATAAACGGTCCTTAATTTTGCTCATTTGACATTTCTTATCATTTCTAATGATTGCCATTTTATGTGTGAATTGCGATTTCTCATGAACATGGAATTAAAATTGCACTCTTAACCAATCTGTTGGCTGGCGGATTTGCATTGCAAACGATAAAAAAAAAAAAAAAAAAAAAAAAAAAAAAAAAAACACAATTAGCTACCCGAACGAAAGTATCGGTGTCTGATTGGCTATTCACGCAATCTTTTCGAAACAGGTGTTATTCATAAATTTAGGCAGATTGTGACGAAAGCGTGAAGCCGGAAGTTCTTTAAGAGGCGAAAGTGATGATGAAGGTGCTCGAGAAAAAAAAAGGGGGGGGGGATTCTGAAAATATTTGCCAAAATTAGAGCAATTCCAACCTGGAAGGCCACAACCAACCCTTCCGACGCCAATAGGAACGAGATGCCTGGAAAGTGCATTTTCAATAAACTGTGGCTTCATCAAGCTGACTACAAAGACTGGATATTGATGGATGACAATCCTTATAAAGCTAAATGTGGTCTTTGTCTGAAACAAATTGAAATTTCTAGAATGGGAGAGTCAGCGCTGAAAATTCACATGAAAATTAAGTTTCGTTTTATCATTTCAATTTGTTTTTACACGGTTTTGCTTAGCTTAATTTCTGTGTTTGTTTCAATTAAGCCATAAATTAATTTTTTATCACCTTCTACGGAGTTTATTCTCTTTTGCACATACTATATGTATGGGATATCGGGATTATGAGTTTATTTCTGCAGAGGGTCTGTTATCGATTTCGCGGGAAATCTGTTGGCTCCATTTCGATTTTAGGTCGCCAAGGGCAAATTCGGTAACGCTAGCCGAGAGAAAAAGTGAAGTTCGGAAATACGTTTTGAAGCTTCAATAGACAATTTAAGTATTTGGTTTAAATGCCTATGTTTGTTGATAGTAATGCATTAATTTTTGCTAATGGCGATACAATTATTAGTTGAAAACTAACTAATTAAAATTTTTTAAATATTTTTAAAGCTGAAAACAACTAATTGAAACTAATTTTCCTGAATTAACTAGACGCAAAATTAACTTTCATGAATTACTAAAAGTTATTGGGTAGAAGTTTAACTGAAAATATACATTCCGTATATATATATATATATATTTATACAGTGTACAAAGTCCGAGGTCGGACTTCGGCGACTTCGGCGATCCTAGATTTGAGATTTTTCCGGATATTAGATCATTTTAAATCTACTAAGATGGCACGTAGAAATTATAAAATTGAAAATATGAAATCGTGATTTATGAAATAATGAAGCATTTATGATTTAAAGGGTATCAAAATTTACAAAAGAAAAGAGCTTAATATTTATATGTTTACTTTAATAAACATTTCTTTCAATGTGAGTTGTTTGATTTGTTTTCTCTGCTAATACTTTAGACTAATACTATAGACATATAATTTCTTGTTCAGTTATTAAGTTCCATTGTTCAAGTCCTGTAATTGCTGTGTGTCGAGAATTCCGAATAACTTGTCAATCAAAATTTTTTCTCGTTCAGTAACCTCTCTGTTACTTTCTTCACTATTGGTAGTTTCTGGATTTAGAACCATACTACAGATTTCGCCCACCCTCCGTTAATTGATTGATGATTGGGCATTGTCATTGCAATGAAAAACTTCTGTTTAACTTCGCTAAATTCTGCCGCCTGGTGCGGCCATGCGAGCTCTGGAGCTGGTTCTGGCTTTATGTGAATAACAAATCAGTTATTCTTAATTCAAATAGCACTAAATATAATCGTTTGTCCTATGAGTATCATTAACAAAATCTATTTTAGCATAAGGAAAGAAATTTCTGCTAAATCTCCCCTTGTCAACATTTTAGCGCATTAAACTTAAATCTGTAATCGTATAATACTCTGTTATTTGGCGTGTCGCTGCATGATGAGTCATCACTCAAGTTGGTCATTCCGTTGATAAAACATGCGGTGATGAAAGCAAAATACAATAAATAATGATTCGCGATTTCGGCATCAAGGATATAAAATATTAGTTAATGTAAAATTAACAAATGTTTCGGTTTGAGATTATGCCAAGCAGATACGCAGCTATGGAGTCAAGTTACTAATCACACAAATTTATGTTAAAATAATTATTTCTTCAATAATGAGATATTTTATTTAGCGCCAAACTGAGATTAAGAATCGGGATTTCCGACATGTTTTTTTATGATGAGGAAAAAAATCTAATGCCCATGCATAAAGCATACCCCTTCCCTCCAAAAAAGCCTTAAAAAATTGGTTGGTGGTGGCTTTGAGGTCAGGACTTTAGATCATTCCAGATATTGGATGTCCGGATCTCGGAATTTGTACTGTATATATATATATATATTAAAAAATGTATATTTTCAGTATACATTTCTTATTATATATATATATATATACATTATATATATATGCGATACTTAATTTTACTAATGCCTTGCATGTAATGCCCCTTTTAGCTGCAAAACAACTTTCCCTTCTCAACTGCACAGTTTCTTCTAACAGTATCGTGAATTTTGTCAAGTTAGAAGAACCATCTACTTCAGGAAAAGATGTAACTGCTAATTCAACATCAATAAGTGTAGAAAATAATAAAATTAATTCTTTTCTTTTCAAATCTGAAGTTACAGATGCAGAAATATTGTGGGCTTTTAAGTGCATCAAAAGCCACTATCCTTTTAAATCGTGCGATGATATTGGGCCTTTTATTCACTAAAATGTTCCCAGATAGTTTCCATTGCAAAATAGTGTTTTCATGGTGGTGAAAAGAAATGTGCTTATATCTGTTATTTTGGTCTTGGCCCTTATTTTAAAACTTTGTTACTAAAGCATTGTAAAAATGCTGAGTTTTTTACTCTCCTGACTCTTAATCTGACAAATCAAAAGAAGCAACTAGATATTTATGTGAGGTACTGGCATCACGAAAATAAGGTCAGAAATCAGTACCTTACTTCTGCATTTAATAGGGTATGCAAAAAGTGAAATTATTTTATCCAAATTTTATGAATGTGTTGAAAAACTAGACTTGTCAAAACTCTTACAAATATCGATTGATGGTCCTGCAGTAAACTGGAAATTTTATGATTTATTGCAACAGGACTTGACAAAGGAATATAACATTCAATGTTTGACATTAGGGACATGTGATTTACACATTCTTAACAATGCTTTCAAGCATAGGATGTCATCCACTGGCTGGGACATTCCATCATTCTTATCCTCCTTATATTGGATTTTTAAAGATTCTCCTGCAAGACATGAAGGATTTTTTTAAGTATATCTGGCTTAAAAAAGCTTCCTGTGAAGTTCTGCTTTTACCGATGGTTGCAAAATGTCCCAGCAGTTGAAAGAGCCATTGAAATATGGGATGACTTGCTACATGTACATTGAAAGAAGTTGAAATGGGGAAGTTTAAAAAAAATTCATCGAAATCCTTCTGAAATATTTTGGAGGCAGACTAAAGATAAAACATTTCTTATAAAATTAAATTTTTATCTCTCTCTCTGTCGAAAATATTATTGCCTTTCCTTGAATATTATCAAAGTGATAAAACCACTTATTCCCTTTTTTGCTGAAAGATATCTTAAAACTTGTAAATGATTGCCTTCAGCACTTTAAAATTTTGAAACTAGAATATTCAAAATAACTAAAGCAGAAAATCTTTATAAATTTAATTTTAATGATCCAAATTGTTATAATGATAAAAGTAAAGTTCATTTGGGATTCATTGCTGAGCATTTAATGAATGATAAATGCCGCAAGAAGGACATTTCACAAGCTGAAAGTTTTGCATTGAAACAAGGTCAACAATGTGTCTTAACAATAGTACAACACTTAATGTCTAAATGTCCAATAAATTATTCTCTTATTCGAAATGCATCTTGTATAGACCCGCGATTGATGGTTAAAAGTCCAGAAAAAGCCCAGAACAAAATGAAAATAGTTCTAACTGTATTAATGCAGAATAAACGTGTTTTACAAGATGATTGGAATGAAATTCTGCTGCAATTTGGAGAGTTTCTAGACAAAGTAGTTAAGACAAATTTACATGAATTTTCTACTTTTGATCCTCAAAATCTTTTTCTTGACACATTTCTCACTTCTTATTTTCATGATTTTCACTATTCAAAAGTATGGAAAATAGTGAAAATGATTCTTATCTTGTCACATGGACAGGCCTCTGTGGAAAGGGGCTTCTCTGTAAATAAAGCAATTGAAATTGAAAATTTAAGTGACTCATCATACATTTTTCAATGCACAGTATTTGATTACATAAAATTTTCTGGAGTTGTTCTTAATATCAAAATTAATAAAGAAATGAGATCAGCAGCAGCTTCTGCAAGGTCTAAATATATGCAGTATTTAGAAGAACAAAAATCTTTAACTAAATCTGAAAATTCAAAGAGGAAAAGAAATATTTGAGGAAGAAATTGATTATATGAAGCAGAAGAAAAAATTTCTTCAAAGGGACATTAAAGATATTAGAAGAAGTAGATGCTTTAGCAGATGAAGCTGAGACCAGCATGAACATTGATTTGTTTATCAAAGCAAATGAACTTAGAAGAATAGTTAAAGAAAAGGAAATAGACATAAATAAATTAGATGTTAAAATAGCTGAAAAGATTTCAGATTTAAAAAAAGCACAAATGTTTTGTATCTTTTATTGTACAGTTTATTATTCTAGTATCTTTCAAAAAACCAAGGAAATAAATTGTATGTTTATAACGTTGCACGCCTCCAACTTGCACGCAACCAAGAGGTGACTGTGAAAACTTGTATAAAAGATAGAAGCTTGTGAAGGGTTTAAGTCCCTTTTTATTCAACGTAATAAATTACAATTGCGCTCTCTTGACGCTTACAGACGGTGCCAACTTGGCAGTCAAATAAAAATAATAACCTGAAAAGAAAATAAAGACAAGATTCTAACTACGAGGCTCTCTAAAATAACTAACTCACCACGTTTTACAATACCGCTGCTAATTCAGCAGACTTGAAGCTCACTGGAACGATGACCACTACTTCCCGCCAAGCACATAGGCCGCAACGCGGGGTTCTTCAATTCTCGCTAACTACCTCCGCGCTCGCTAAGTAAGAGAATCTCCCACACCGAACTTGTTTCCTTCTATTTAAATCAGAATACTTCCGCTGATAATTTGAATCCTTGCGCGTTCTACTCAAATTTACATATTCTGGCATTGGCAGTTCCAAGGCTTGACAGGAAAGATACTTTAAACTTAAAATAAATGTTAGTTAAAATAAATATAAACCCTACATGTTTACAAATCAGTTATTTTAATCTGCAAAATATTCTTACATTGTGATTATAATAGTAGTTGACTGTGTTTAAATAAATATCAAATAAGTTAATAATAATCATGTAAATCTCTAAAATAGTAACTGTTATTAGTGTAAATTACACTTATACATGTTTTTAAAGAAATTATGTTCCTAATTTAATGTTATCTACTTCATAACTTGTAGGGAGTTAGTTTAATTTTCAAAATTGTTTTATGGTTAAGTGATTAAGTATGAAATTAATAATTATAGTGCATAATACACACTTCTGTTAGTTTCTTAAAGTGAAATTACAAGGATGAAGTCGGTTGTATGGATAATTGCTCTATTCTATTTGTTTTTTTGTTTGCTGATAGGTCCTTAATTTTTTCTTTGATGGCCCTTAAAAGTCCTTAATTTTCATGTAAGGAAATGTGTACGAACCCTGTATAAGCACATCATGTAATACTGAAGAATGTAAAGATGAAATCAGTGAACTAACTCTCTTTACATGTTGGTATAAGAGATGTCATCTCAGTATTAAGATTAGCGATATAGCATATGTTAAATAATTCCCAGAAACAGGTCATTAATGAACTTTTGCATAACGCTTGCAACAATTTATTAGTAATGGTTATGTCCTAGTTAAAATCCTGTGAAAGTAAGTATTTGTATGTTGCTACTTATATTACAATGGATGGTGTCAGTTGATGAAACCAATAAATATCACCTTCTCTCAGAAAATATATGGGGAAAATATTGTATACAGTTTTCATGCAACTCTTGTGTCAGTCACTGGAGAATGCTTAAGCTGTTAAGTTATTAACTGAGAGAAAAACCCAATATAAAATTAAAGCTTCTGGAGTTTCCTTTGCAAAGTTTCTAAAAGTATTCAGTTGAAGATCCTGTTGATACATCTGGAAGACTAGTTCTGTGGTGTATGTAGAGATTTTGTCACTTGGGACAGCCCTTTATTTTGTCATCTGGGCCAATCCCTGATTTTGACTTTTTTTTTTTTTTTTTTTTTTGACAAATAGCTAAAAAAAGTCAAAATTACGTATAGAGAAGTAAATTTGGACTCTCTGTATATTTTGAAGAAACATTTTAAAATTGTTGTAATTTTGCGTGTTTTTTTGCTTGCAAAACTATTGATGACATCATAGAATATTGTTAGTACAGAAAAATTTCTTAAGTATGAAATAAACATTTATAGTTCATAAATACTCATGACTTTTATTTAGAAAGCTCTTTCAATGACTAACAGAACTTAAACAATTGTGAGGAAAGTTGGTGATTGTATTTTAGAATAAAAACTGTAAAAATTCAAAAGGACCACCTTGCCATGTTCCTATTTTATTTTCCCTGGTAATAGTGAAAAGAAAACTGAAATATTTTCTGCTTAATAAAGAATTCTGCTTTATTAATGTCACTGCAATCATAATTTTGTTGATATTCGGAACTGGATTGTGTGATCAATTAATTACCTGTGCTGTTTTAATAACTGACATAAAAATATTTAATTTAGTTTTTAAATCACCTCGTTTAGAAATATTCAATCTATTTCTTATTTTCAATTCTAGTTTTGTGTTACTCATATTTTTAATTCTGTTTTCTTTTGTTCCCATGTTTTACTTTTTTATAGTGTATTTATTGCATAAATATTGCATAAATATTTATATATTTAATAAATACTGATTTTTTTAAATATTAAATAATTTTAGTGCATTTTCCCCCTTATATTTAATTTCTTCCTTCCTTACTTTCTTCCTATTTCCTTATACATATATTTCTTTCTTACTATGTAATACAGCTATGAAGTAAAGAAGTAGTTATCAATTTCATCATTATTTTTTTAATCAATGGGAACTTGATTTTGTTGATAGTCGACCCTGATCCTCAAGGATCAATACCAACCCTGTTGGGAACTTCTGCCCTAGGGCAATCAAAATAGATCATGGCTTTCAACAGGGATATTTTTAGAGAATAATATGTGTTTTTCTTTTACAGAACTACATGAATCATATAGGTTACTCACACAGGTAAATACCATGCTCTGAGGGATACCAGATATCTTTGTCACACTTATAATAGTAAGACTCCTTAAATTTTTCAATAATGCAACACAAATAAAATCACCATAATTTTCTTGATGGGCTATTTCATCATCTTTAGCTCAGAAGAAAATTTTATACTAGGTGCATAAATGATGCATGTTGTGTCTAGTAGCTCATATTGAATTTATGCTTTTGAACCTTTGCTCAAGCTGGTTTGCTTTGCTGTTTTTGTATACAGCATTAAATTTTGTACTTACATCATAAGTTTGTTTTGCAGTAAGTTTGCAGTTTGTTTGTTTTTTGTAGAAAAAAAGTGTGCGTGAATTTTATGCAATTCATATTTGCATAGGTTTCAGGTAATGGGCTGCAGATCATTGCTTTTCAGTTATAGATGATGCTAATAAATGTAACAGTTTTCTGCTGTTTTGCTGTTCATCTCTATTTTTTGCATGGGTGACTATTGACCCACAAAGCCCGTCGTTGATGTGACAGCTTGTTATTTGCTCTTCTGAAAGAGAAAAAATTGTTGTGTGTTAACATTTTAATCTTCCCTCATTACCTCCCCCCCCCAAAATAAAATGAGCATTTTGCATTTGATTACTGATCATTTTCTTTGCTGCTACATTAGGAAAATTCATTTTTGGCTTAAAAAATGTAAAATTTAAAGTAAGGCTAAAAACCAATCATATATTGGCATAAATTTTGAATGATACAATCAATTTCAGTTCCCCCCTCATTTACTGGCTCATTTGTAACCAATGCAATTGTTTAATTCATTTTGGGTATCTTTTTAAATTGGGGACTATTTGAAATTGTATAGTAATTCATTCTATTTCTAATTTAAATCACTTGGTAAAGCCACAGTGAAAAGCTGGTGGAAAAAATAATTTAAGTAATTTAGACAGAGCAAAAATTAATTGGACGAAGAATGAATAGAAATTATTTATAATAATAGTTAATAAAATTTAGCACTGTTTAATGTTTTTATCCAATTGAATTGTTGTTTCATTAATGACAAGTTTGTTTTTCAGTCTAAAGAAAAAAGTGAACCCCATATATTAACCCATGGAGATATATTAGCTTTAGGTTCCTGCAGATTCTTGCTTCATATACATGTCGGTTTTGAAACTTGTAATGAATGCGAGCCTGGTCAAGTTTTAGCTGAAATTTCTGCTCAAGGTAATGCAATACTTTTTAAATGTCTATGCAGTTTTAATTCATGTGCTTCTTCTAGCATCTACCCAATGTGTCTGCTGCATTTTCATTTGAAAAGGCTTAGTTTTATGTGATGATGTTAAAAATAAACAGGGTATTTTAAAGTTAATGGAACAAACTTTGAAAGAGTGGTGGAACATGTTAAGTGTGTAGACACTTCAGGATGCTTTTCATTTTTCTACACATCTTCCTTTTAGACACAAATACCGGTGATGTATCCACCTTCTCCTTGCTCACATACCTGTCCATTCCAAGTTACTAATGGTGGTGCATGAACCTTGAGCCTGATACTTTAGCCATGAATATTGCATGGAAAGTGACATTTACATCTCGGTGAAAATAAGGTTATAGAATAATTGTGCAAATAGGATTATACATTCTAGGATGAAATAATGCTTGGTTTCGTGTTTGAAGTTTGTTCTATTAGTTTTGAAAATTATGTTTAGCTATGGTTAGAAGGGAGAGACACTTTGAGTAGATTTTTTTAATCCTGTTTCCTGTATACTTTCTCATATTCCCTGATAGGCAACAAAACAATTTCTAAAACATACTAAGAAGAGGTAAAAAGTTTTGTAATAAAAATTATTTCTTTCCCCCTTGTATCGTACTTCTTTCAAGACTCGAAATTTTTTATTTAATACTTCTTGTATCTTAAAAACTTTAATGCTGTATTCCAAATATCCAGGAAAGTTTAATCATTCTTTGAGTGCTCTAGCATGTTTTAGATTCCTTTAGCTAGCAATTTGGGATTTTGTACATTTATCTCAAAGTATAAAAATCTGATGTGTACACCACATGACTTCTTTGCATGGAATATTAAATTATACGTTCTCCCCCTTGCATTTCATTTAAACTTATTGGATTTAATTAAATCTACTTCGTTGATAGCACATAAATCACAATAGAATAAATGCACTCTTTAAAATTCACTATATTTGTTTACCATAGCGACACTCTGGCGGTAGGTTCACTTAACAGCGTTATATTTCGTTCATATTATAATTCAGAATGCACAAAAGTTATATCATTTTGAAGAATTATCTAATCATTGCTACATGTTCTAGTCAAATACTATAATAAATCTAGAATAATGTATAAAAGAAATTAAGCAAACAAAACAAAAAAGAAACAGTTTTTCACAGACGATTCAGTATTTCTCATTCAATTAATTCAGTTCTCACTTGCGACAAGGCAAAAATGCATAAAAAGTCAAAATATCTATATTAAAAATTTTGAAGTAAATCTTAAACACTTATTTCCTTGAAAAATTCCAGAAAGGATTAAGCATGATTTAATTAGCAATAATAAATGAAGGTGTTATCTTTGTTGTTGCAAAGCTTAGTCTCTCTAGATTGGCAACAAATTTACTATTCTGCTGTTTCAAATGTAAACAAATATGTCCGCCATGTTATTTAAAAATTAAGCTTAGCTGCACTTAAACAGCTTTTAAATTATTGATAATTCTACAAATATTGCTTGCAGATTTCCTAAAGGCACAAAAAAATCTTAACCAGAAGATAAGAACAGCATAATTCAAACATTTTTAAAGCAAAAAAATGCACAATTTACAAACATATAACATTAAAGAAACTGAGACCACTGAACCGGGTAACAGTGTATATATATAAATATATTTATATATGTTTGGTGCGGCCGATTGCAACCAAAATACTAGATGCACATCTACATGTTATAGCAGTCCTATATGCAAAATTTCAACGTTCTGAGGCTACTCGTTTTGGAGTTATGCGAAATACATACGTATGTACGTACAAACACCACAAAACATTCTCTTCAGAATTCATTTTAAAGGAGTTTTATAATTTTTTTGGAGAAAAAGAGTCTTTTATTCTATCCTTATGTTCAGATGTCACACAAAAACATCGTTAACCCTCTGAGCGGCACGAGTTTTTTTGGATCTGTCATGAAGACCTGTATTCAAAGACACTTTATTAAGCTAAATTTGTATAGTTACTTACTTTAGGCTCTATTTTCATAAACTTACATTTATTAAGATGATATTTATATTATTAAAGAAAGCAAAATATCATAAATTATAAGCTTAATATATAACAAATGACAAAAAATCTCATGATTGGATAAAGCTGGCCATAATGCTCAGAGGGTTAGCGGTCAAAATAGATATTTTCGTTGAATTATGGTGCCTGAAACTTTTCGCGGTTACAATACTTCCTTTCTACTTCGTACAAGGAAGTAAAAAGTTATAAAATATTTAAAACATGTTTTCAGACAAGAAAAGTATTCATTTTTAGTACTGGAAAAGATAAGCCATATTGCTTCAAGTATGTGTTTATAGAAAAAGGAAAAGAAAGTTGCCATACTTCTGTCCTATATATTGTTTTTTTTTTTTTTTTTTTTTTTTTTTTTTTTAATATATGTATATAAGATTAAAACTGAAAGGAATAATAGTTAATCAACTTTTTAACATATTTAAAAGCAATAATTTCACTAAATTATTCTTTAGTTGTTATATTTGATGGCTTAAATGTTTTTTGACAAAAGAAGCTTCTGGACATAAATGGATTATTCATTTATAACAAAGCCCATTTAAACTATCTGATTCTTAGATAAAATGATTAAAAAAAAAAAAGCTAGACTATATTTGCATTTCATGCAAAGGGAACCAAAATGTTCTCATATATCATGCAGCACTATTTTTATTTTTGGAATAAATTATTATATTGTGAGTGTTCTTTAATGTTTAGCGTTTTGAGTAATGGTCAACTAGTTTTTGAACATATTTATGACTCAGTTTCTATGTATTGCCCTGAAGCCTTAATTACTATTTTCTGCTGGGAGGGAGGGGAGAGGTAAATTCTAGAAAATGTCCAGGAAAGTATTACAAATTGTTAATGTTATTATTTTCAACATAAATACATTACATTCAACTACTACTCAAAAGAAAAAATTGTCCTTTGCATTTTGACTGATTTTGCCTGAGCTGAAATTATATGTTTTTGATATTTAAAGTGTTTTAACAATCTGTATTACTAAGGTTTGCAATTTTTCATTAACGGTTGGTTCTCAAGATATTTCAGTTTCAGTTTAAAATATCTTTTTCTCCCATGTAGAAGTAATAATATTTGTTTAATAGTTATTTTTGAGAAAGAACATAATATTTAAGCAATATATGGTATGTTTATTTGCATTTTATACGAAGTGACAATAGTGAGACTTGTTAGTTTATTACCATATTCTTGTTTAGGTCTATAAATATTTTGTATATAAAGTTGTACTCAAAATTAAAAGAATTTTTACATTTTTTCACTTATTGACCAGAACTGATGGACAGATTTCAGTGAAATTTGGCAAGGGCACAGGTTAATATATAATTTTTAAAAAAAAGTATTCTTTACTACAGTCATGGTACACATGCATGATCACACGTAAGGCTGATTGGTGCAGCAAGATCTAAACCAGAGATTATGTGATTAAACAAAAAAGGGTATCTGATAGGGAATGTAGTGTCTTCTAGCAGTTATGCAGCTCTCAGAATGTGACTTTATGCTAGGGCAGTTTATGTGTCCCTCTGACAATCAGTCCCATTCCTGCAGTAGTGTGAGGTTTCTGGGAAGAGGAAAATGAGTAGCTTGGCCACCTAATAGTGTCCCAAATTTGTTTTATTTAAATTAGGTCTGGAAATCTAGCTGTCCAATCTATTCAGTTAATATCTTCACTTTTCGGAAAATCATTTACTAGACCAGCCCTATGAGAACAAACATTTTTATTCATAAAAATGAACTGAGGTCCAACGACATCTCTAAAAAGGTGACTCACTTCAGACTCCACTTCTGTCATTTCCACATCTTCTTTTACCACTTTCATCTGTAAGAGTTGCCCTCGCAACTTTTCTTGGCCGACATTTATTTCTTCTTGTCTGGCTTTCTTCCCTTCCAGTCCGGTTTCTATCTCTTTCATTGCGACTTTGATCTCTACTCTCATCTCTTCATATCCAGCTTTTATCTCGGCTAAAAAGTCCATCAAAGTCTTCATTCCCTCCGCTATGGCTTTCCTCTGCAGACGGGTCACTGGCATTCACTCACAAATCCCATTTCTGACACCAGTTGTTATGTTATTTTCTTCCTTCACGTTCGTACGGGGTTTGTAGATTTGGAGTGAATAACGACAACACTTGATGAAGTATCGAAACACACTTTATTTAGCCAATATTAATCAGGACAGCTCCAAAATCACGCCTTAGAGTCATCGAACTGTTATAAACATGCTGACACGTTCAGCAACACAGCCTTCACACTGTCAGGCAATAATGGTGGAGACAGCTTCAATGAAAAGCACCAGAGTACAGCTCCCAACTCTGCTCGGTCGTTCTCGGAACTACACATACTCTCGAGACTTTCTACGCTACAACTCACGATGCACTCGATGACACACAGAGCACAGCTCCCGACTCTTCGGTTCAGTTGTTCCCGGAGCTTAACACACTCTCTCGACGATGCACTAACCGCGATACACTAAGAGACTGTTCGATGCACTCAACGACCCACTCAGCACTCACTGGCCAGCTGTCAACTCGATCGACTCCGCACGGACCGACTAACTCGAGACACTATCTTGCGCTCCAGACAAGGCGTACACTCTGACTGCGGGCCAACAGGCTTTATATAGCTTTCGGCTTGTGTTCGAGAACATTCTGGGCTAAACCGGTAAGAATTCGTTCCAGAAGGTTCTCCATCCATCCATGGCACATCGCCAATTTTGTCACCACATGTGGCAACCCTGTTTTACTTTGCCATTTTATGGCAACCCTAAAACTGCTTTGCTTTATCTTACCACGCCTGGACATTTTGTAACATGTATGGATAGCAGTGCTAGTCTGCATAAGGCTAATCTAGTGAATGATTTTTTGGAAAATGAGGATATTAACCAAATTGATTGATCAACCATATCTCCATATTTAAACCCTATAGAACAAGGTTGGCCGAATTTCATGTTGGTAAGAACTGCACTGGAAAGTTCAAGAGATGTAATAGATTTTCCAGAAGCTACAAGTCAATACGTACATCATTTTAAAAGTAGTGAAACACGTTGCAAATGGAAAATATCTGATAACTTTGTAAAAAAGTGAAATAAATTAATTGCTATCTTTTGAACACTGAGTGGTTTTGGTTTACATATTTTATACATACGTTTTATGTAAAAAAGAGCTGCACCACTCATCTGCAAGTATACTGTACAGCAGTCTTGGTGTTGTATACAGCAGTACTATGACTGCTGTACAGTAAGTACCATGACATGACTGCTGTACAATACCAAGAGTTGCGCACGGCTTGCAAGTCATGACATTGCCATCCGTGCTATAGAAGATATGTGAGGTTTTTTTATAAGAACAATTCCAAATCATCTTCCTTCTCCTGTAACTGTCCAGGACTTGAAAACAGTATTGTTGCATTTTCAGTATGAAATCGTGTTGTGACAGCTGTATGACTTAGGACCATGCTCTCTATCAGCCTTCTTATTTTACTCAATCATGCAGCCTTTGGTTTAGACTTTCCAGAGTCTCATGAGCCTTGCTGACAATCATGCATGTATGCCGTGACTGAAGTATGATTTTTTTTCTTTGCATTATATCAGCCTCTATCCATACAAAATTTCATTGAAATCTGCTTATCAGTTCTGAAGATAATCAATTAAATAGGAAAATTCTCGTAATTTCGAGTATTAGGATATGTTTCATGTGTATAAACATGTCATTGTATAAAAATATGTTTCATGTGTGTTTATAAAAGCAGTTAAACAAGCTTAATTGCAGCTGAGATAGGAAAGTTAATGTGAACACAATTTTATACTGCATAATTTTTAAATGCAGAGGAAATACAAATCAAAATGTAAATGAATTAGAATCTTTAATATAATTTAATGCAAATTCATATATTTTTCTTGTATTAATGATAATTATTAAGTATTAATGGTAAGTTTATTAATTATTTAATGTAATGTTAATGAATTTTGATATTTGTTGATTTGATATATTACATAGTTTAAGAACGTGCATATTTTATAGAAAGACCTGAAGTTGTATTTAAAACTAAAAAAGAGAAAGAGAAAGAAAGACGTCAAGAACTTCGTAATCTGAAGAAGAAGTATGGTCTTCAAGTAAGTTTTTTTTATTTGTAAATTTTATCGATTTATATATTAGTATTTGCCTTTGATTCCATTGCCAGTTCATACTGCAAGGAAATTCCACAACCTAGAAGGAAAGAGACAGAGCACAACTCAAAATTTTCATTCTGTGCAAATGAATCTATTTAATTTTGAAAGGTTAATTCTAGAAAGGCTAATTGATTTATTTGGAGCAGAAATTCATTAAGAAAGAAAAATTTTAACCTTTTTGCTAATATTCTAATGTCAAAAGGGCGTATACCTCGAGGAATTGAAAGTTAAAATATTAGGAAGCGACACTTTCTTTGACAAAATAAAAAATGTTAAAATTACACAATTATTATATCTTGATATAATTATATCTTACAATTATTGTACCTTGAAGGTCTCAGCCATTAACTATAATCACTATGTATCAGAAATGTTTTTCTAAAGCGAGTAAGACCTTTTCAGTAGCATAAAATGTGAGGATTTCTGTTATTAATAATCGGACTGTTTGCTAGTAAGACACATTGCATAGTTAAAACATTTTTAGAAACTATACATTATTATTATTATGTTAAAGAAAAATTTAATATTTATCTTCAGTATTATATTTTTGGAAAGAAATCTTAAATAAGCCCTTGAAATGACAGATTTAAGGTGCATATCACACTTAGGTATGCATAAAAACTTTTTTCTTTATAGAATCACTTTGAATTTAGATTTGTATTTAGAAATATGGTCAGAAATTTAAGTGAATCTGTTTTATTTCCTTGCATAAAGTAAAGGAAGAATGGTAATCGCAAAAAAAATATTCGATTTGAGATATCATTGGAAATATGCATTTTGTTACTATTTTTTGAGGCAAAGTGACGTCTGAATGTATGGACAAGATGTTACGTATGTAAGTATGTATCTAGTATAACTCAAAAAAGATTAGCCGTGGAATGTTGAAATTTTGTGTATGGGGCCATTATAACATTTGGTTGTGCACATCCATTTTTTATTGCAACATATACTTTCATTTATAGAAGTGTTTTAAATAATGAAAATATTCTTGTTCTAGCTATTTCAAATTTAAAAAAAAAAAATTATTTTGGACAAAAAGCAAAATCTGACTCTTAATGCGGTCTATACAAAAAATTGACCAGTATATTTAATTTTAAATTTGCAATCTTTTATGTCGTTTTCAACTTGTCTTGAGAGGTCAGTTAATTAAGTTGTAATAATTTGAAGAAATAAATTTAAATGAAGTGCATCAAAATGATTTAATAGGAATACAAAGGAAGTCATGTGTTGTACAGAACAGATTTTTCATTTTAACCTGTAGGGCTAACAAATTTGGAAATTTTTTCTACTACATGAAAAGAGGGATTCCCAAAAAATGAAATATATATTTAAACAAAATCAATGCCTCAATAACTCATTTTTTCTTGTCGATAAATTTAAATATGTTCACTCATTACTTATAAGTAAGTAAAATTGTAAAATAAAATTTAAGATTTATTTGATGAATGAAATTTTATAAAAATTTACCTTACTATTGAAAAGACTCATTTTGAAAAACATGAAAAGTCATACATTTTTAATATTAAAAATTCTTCATTCCTGAGTCATTTTATAAATCATTTTTGTAAGTTTGAACAGTGTCAGTTTTTCGAATCCCCTTATATATATAGTACAAAGTCTGAAATCCAGACTTGTCAGGACTTCGGCGGCTCTGGATTTGGGATTTTTCCGGATATTAGATCATCAGTTTAAATCTGGTAAGATGGCATGCAGAAATTATACATATGAAAACGTAATTTATGAAATAAAGAACAATTATGATCTAAAGGGTATCAAAATTTACAAAAAAAGGCTTAATATTTATTTGTTTACTTTATTAAACATTTTTTTCAATGTAAGTTGTTTAAGTTGCTTCCACAAAAAATTCAAAAAGTTTCTTTTTCTTTTTTCTTATGTCATATACACTTGACTTTCCAATGCCGTACTCCTCACGTAATTTTGAGACGGATATGCCTTTGTCCATTTTTTGCAGCAATTCCACTTTTTTGTTTAATGGACATCAAAACATGGTTTCGCTTTGTAGATCCTTTGGCAGCTCCAGAATTGGAAACTTTTTCCAACATAATCGAAAGTTCAAGCTTAGTTTTATAAAATTGCCTTAATAATAACAGTCTGCAAAAAATAATAAGCTGGATCAAACTAGAAGGTTAGAGGGCAGTGCAGTCCGCTACATTAACTGAAATTCCGTAGAATCAGTAAAGATAATTTTACCCTAGCTTAACAGCTTTATCATTATTAGCTGTTTATCACTAGATTGGCGACAAAAGCCAGTTTGTTTCGATAAATTTTGTCTTGCTCCTATTGTGTACTGAATTAAACCTGAATTGTATTAGTTTAGTTATTTACTGTAAATACATTTATGTCTTGCACATGCTTAAAACTAATCTGAGTCCTGAATAAATAAACTCCCACATATACTTAATGCATTATCTAGGGCCGGTTCTAAATACCACCTGGTGCAGTCTCTACGGTTCCTAAATTCTGCTACAAAGCGCCTTCTTAAGTTCTAAATTTTCACCGCACCTTAACTTTGCATCCCAGTGCTTTCCCTACATCATAAAAAACTTCTCTTCCCTTAATAGTAGGGGATTCTTATTTATTTATTAAGTGTAGGGATTTTCTTATTTTGCATAACAAATTTATTTTAAGTTTTCCTATTCTCAACTTCCCCATCTTTTCTCTCGCCAGGATGTAAATTTAAAGTTAAGTGCTATTTAAACGTGTGATTATCTCAGTTTATTCAGAGCATGTTTCGCTGGCCTAGAGAACGTTTCGTTGTTATTTCGCGGTCACGCCAGTAAGCCTCTTGGCCAGTATCATGCCAGTTAGATTTCTACGAGTCCATCTCTTAGGAGTAATTTTAAAGTGCGTTCTTGCACTCGTTTATTTTTCAGACTTAATTTATATTATTGTCTAATTTTAGTTACGCTGTAAATGAACGGTGTTCTGTAGCGCACGAAGTCCGTGCTTTCTGTTAAATTACTTTGATCTAATAAAGGGTTATTTTGCACCCTTCTTCTGTGCTGGTATTTAATTCACGCCTGTGCGAGAATTTGTCAGGTTCATTGTAGGATCTAAGTTAGTGTATGTGGAAAAGTAGAGATAGATCTTACAAAAGTTGCCACTTGATGCTTCCCCAAATTCCAAAAATTTCTTCATCCCTAAATTCTGTCGTCCGGTGCCGACATATTCTGCTGCCGCTTCTGGGTTTATGGTAAATAACATATCAGTTATTCTTAATTAAAATATCACTAAATGTAATCTTTTGGCCTATGAGTTTCATTAACAAAATCTATTTTTCGTGTATGAGAAAAATTTTTTGTTGAATTTTTTGTCGTCAACATTTCTTAGAACATTTAAAAATCTATAATCATCATCAAGCGTAATGTTAGCATAAAAGGTTGAAATATTCTTGTTATACTAATATAAAAAAAAAGTTTAAACATTACTGCATGAGTTGTTGCTGAAGCTCTCATGTATTGATAAAAATGTGGTGATGAAAGCAAAATATAATAAATAATGTCTAGCCAGGTCGTCATCAGGGATATAAAATAGGTGAATGTTTCAGTTTGAGATGTATGCCAAGCAGATACTCAGCTATGGAACCAAATTATTAATCTCACAAATTTATGCTTACATGATTGTTTTCCATAATGAGGTATTTTATTTAGTGCCAAAGTGAAATTAAGAATCGGAATTTTTAAGTGAAAATCTCCACATGTTTTCTTATGGAAAGAAAAATCAAATGCGCATGCGTAAAGCGTACAAAAAAAAAAAAAAAAAGTGGCTTTGAGGTCCGGACTTCCCCGGATAATGGACGTAGATCATTCCGGATAATGGACGTCCTGATTTCGGACTTTGTACTGTATTACTCTACCTATATGCTATTATTTCAAATTTTAAGTGCTTCAGTTCAACAAAAAATAACTCCTGTAAAATGTCCAGTACCCGGTTTTGAAATTATTTTACTCCAACATACATATCTAAGTTTCAGTCCATCCATGGATGCCTTCAAGTAAATGCTCCTTAGGAAGTCTTTATGAATAATACTGTTGCCTTAAATAGAACATAATAATTTGAAAAAATATTGCTAAGTCTTATTTAAAAGACATCTATTTAAAATTATCTCCTTAAAAAGAGGAGAGTTGTCTTAAATTTGGAACTTTTATCTTAACTTACTAGCATTTTGGTGCTTCAAACCTAAACGTATTTTTAGAATCAGGAATGTTCATTTTACTTTTTAAATTCAAAACTTGAAAATAAATTTTTGGATGGTTTATTTGTTAATACTCCCTCAAATGGAATTGTTGAAAATGGATTTTTCGATCGTATGCTTTATTGCCCTACATTGCTCTTGCTCCTATAAGGGGATACTGGAAAAAATAATTCCCTTTGTTATTTTAGAAGATCAATAAAGATATATCAAAAGATAAACTTACCTTTTTTTCTTCTTCTTGGTGGACGGCTGAGAGGATTTTCTTATGTGAACTCATAAGACTAAAATTAGGAGGCTTCCTTTAAACAAACACAACACACTTTGTTTATTACATTTACAAAGAATAAATTGGTAAAGACTTAATTACATATGATAGCAGCATTCATTTTTACTTCCACCATTCCTGCTATGTTCTCACGATCTTATTACAAAGAGGGAAGAATGCCCGCCATCTAGTGGCAAGAATGTGACATCCTCCCACCTTTTGATTTTACCTCGATAAGATGGGAAAATCAAAACAAAATTTATCAATATCAAAAAATTCAGTACACTTCACAATAAAAATTAACTTAAATAATAGTTGTTTTTTTTACTGTCACACACGGCAGAGTTTCTGTTCATGTAGTACCTTATTTGTTTGGAATTGCAGTTTTCACTTTG